GAAATTAAGACATCGTGAGACACTTTATGACATGCTGTTGATTCTTTTCGGAGAAGGGATGGTTCTTCCTGGACTTTCCCACCGCGCGCCTTCAAGTGCGTGCAGCAGGCCGCCAGCCCAGGGCCCACCTGACCCAGTGGTGCTGATTCAAGCCGGCCAGCAGGTGACCCCCCAGCCCCACTCCTTGCAGGGTGAGAGCGCCGGAGGCAGTTGTCCAGGTCCAAGTCCCTGTCTTCACAAGAGAAGGTGAGAAGGGCTTGAGACAAGCACTGCCTGTGGTCCGTCACATCTCTGGTCCACATTTCCCAGACAGACAGACAGACAGACACGCGCCTTCAGAAGACGAGGCTGAGCTCCACAGTAAGACTGCTGACCCTTCATGCTGGCCTTCCATGTCCCTCCTGGCGCAAAACTAGAGGTTTCCTGGTAGGTTGGAAAGCCCTAAGTCAGCCACGACCCTGGACGCAGATGCTCAGCCAGGGCCTTACGTCCCACGTGCCAGGACGGCTTCCGCCTCAGGGCTGCCCTGCCTTTCAGTTGCCCCTGCCTCAGTGGGTTCCCGGCCATGCCGGCCCCACTCTGCCCTTTCACGCCCTCTTGCTCGGGCACCTGGTATCTCGCCCCTCACTGGCCCTCTGTCCACTCGAGGCTGCTCCCCTTGGTGCTGTCAGTACAAGTTCCTGGGGGCTCTGTGCGAAGCCTCCTTGCCTCTCGCTGGTTGCTGTGGGTGTGTTCCCTGGGGTCCTCAGCGTTCCCTGTAGCATCACCTCTCTTTGGCCTTCAGATATCTCCAGGGAACCTTGAACCCAGCATATCGCACACTGCTTCTGCCACGGAGCCCCGTTCTCCATCAGGGACTCTGTGTCTGTCCCACTTGCACGTGCACTCCCCCGCTCTGCGCTCGTCTGTCTGACCAAGTCTGTTTTGCTGTAGGCCTCAAGTGTCCCTGGGTCCCTCCTCGCCTTTGCCCCCATCTGGGCCCCTCCCAGTCCCCGGCTCCTGCCTCCTGCTCTGATCCTGGTGCACCCACCCTTGGTCTTAAAGCCTCAGTGGAGCCCTGGACTGTGTCACGCTCTGTCTGGCAGGAGCGGCTCCTGAGGCCTGGCCCCATGGGAGGACTGAGTGGTCCTTAGAGAGCATTCGCTCCAGGCTCTGCCTGTAGGCCCAGCTGCCTTTACCTAGCCCATGCCTGGGCTGCAGAGCTGAGGATGACACTCCGCCCCCTTCTTGCCGAGGCGCAGGTCCCCCTACTGTGAGTTCAACAGTCCCAGAAGCTGTTGCAGACCTGTGCAGAGCAGCTCCGTGACCACCGCTCCTACTGGCGCGGCCGGCTCTGCCTCGGGGCCTGTGGACCACTTTCAGATCGGAGAGAGTGTTTCCCCACTGCTGTGGATTGAATGGATCCCCTAGGAGTTGAATTTGCCCACTTGAGATGCAGAGCAAAGCGAAGGCTCACTCCCATCCACTGGCGCGCCATGCAGCTGCCCACACCAGCACCGGATTCAGTGCAGGTTGTCCTGCACCATGGTGATCACAGCTTCGGGGTTCAGTAGCTGCTCACGTGCTCAGGGCCAGCCTCACTGCCAGATGAGGAACATCCCCCCAGGAGTTGGGATTTCCAGAGGGTTAAGACTTCCCATCAGCCCTGAGACAGAGAGGACCAAGACCCAAAGGCTGTGCGGTTTTATTCCATGTAAAAGATTTGTTTGTTTGGCTGCAGTGGGCCCAGGTGGGCCCAGACTGCACTGAAGTCAGGAGCCAGGAACTCCATTCTCATCTCCCGGGTGAGTGGGACCTGAGCCCAAGTGGGCCGTTTTCTGCTGCCTCCCCCAGTCACATCAGCAGGGAGCTGGATCGGAAGTGGAGCAGGCAGGACTTGAACTGTCACAAGGAGGACCATCAGAGGTGGCTGCACCGAGGAGCAGGGCTCCAGTGAGGAAGAGTGGCCTGAGGCATTCTAGATGACTTTGTGGCTGGGTGTCCTGCCTGGGGCAGAGCCCTGTGCCACACAGCACCTGTCTTCCCTGGCTGTGTAAAGCATGGCCCACAGTTGCCTCCTGTGTGGTATCTGTGGACCCCTTACAGGAGCCCCGAAACGTGTCTGGAGTTTCAGACATGCTGGGGAGCAGGGGAGAACAGGAAGGGAGAGTTCAGTTGTTTTATCCAGGGCACAAATCCCAGCAAAAATTTTCTTCTCGGTTGCCCTAAAAATCCAGGTTCAGCGCTTTGCTGACCCCACCTGTGGCAGGAGAGGGGCCCCACACTGCAGGGGCCAGCCCTCCGCAGGCAGTCACTGCCTTATGAGAAAGCATTGCATGGTGGCCCCCGGGCCCCAGGCCTGGAGCAGAAGCCTGGCGGGCGGAGCAGCGAAGGGCTTCTGCCGGCCACCTGTAGCTGCGCAGTGAGAACCCCAGGGACTTCACCCATTGCTGCCATTCCTGGCAGCCTGGAGCCCAGTGGGCCAAATGTGGGGACAGCTGGCAGTGCACGTGTGGTGACTCCTGTGGGCAGGGATGGGAGAGGCCCAGACTCTGGTCATCCAGGACACAGTTGTGGCTTTCCATATATCTCCTCTCTCACAAGCTTGCTAGTTGGTAGATTGATGTGCTGTGACAGCCGGAGCAAGTGGGGCACCGGGCTGGGGGCACGCTCTTCCAGCTCCCTGATGGCTGTCTGTACCCTGGTTCGGAGCCCCAGGGAGCCCGGCTGTGCCCATGCCGCCCTGGGTGTGTGCAGTCAGCATGATTGGTGACGAGACAGTTTCATGCCCGAGCGATCAGGCAATAACATCCCCGTTGAGGTGGGACAGGGCCTGTTCCCTCCTGCCGCCTAAGGAGCACCCCCACTTCAGGGACCACTGCATTTTTGCCCCCCGGGGCTCTGTGCACAGAGGTGGGAGCAGAGCAGGGCTTGCTGCAGCTTGCTGTCTCCTTAGGGACCTCCCCTGAACTTGGTCACAAGCATGAGGCCTCCCATGGGGGTGTGGGGACACCCAGACTCCCAGGCCAGGCAGCTGAGGCCCCGAGGTGAGGCCAGGCACGTCACAGCCCTGCACAGCCGCCTGCATCTCAGCGCGCAGAAGGGGCTGCTGGGCAGGAAGTCGGGGTTGGTTTTCCTCCAGAAGTGGCTGTGACCCCAGGGCACAGAGCTGGGGCTGGTTGTGTTGCTGCTGGGCTTCCTGTCTGTGCCCACAGCCTTGTCCTTCTGCACACAGGGCCCGGGGTCCCAGCCGTAACTTGTGCTGTAAGCCGTGGTACCTTCAGTAGATGTCACCCTTGGCTTTGCGAATGAGGAGCCCCGTGTTTCGTTCCCCCTAGACGCTGCTGATTTCACAGCTGGTCCCTTGGACCGCCCCTCGCTTGTCTTGCTTCCTTCCTTCCTTCTTCCGGCCTCTGCTCTGCCCCAGTCTAGGCTTAGCTCCTGGGCGTGGCACCTCATGCATCATCAGACCTCACCCCACACACACTTACGCACACGCCCCATGGGTCTCGGCCAGCAGAGCATCTCTAGAGCTCTCAGGCAGAGCCTTGGCCTCCTTGGAAAGTGCTCCTGGGGGGCCGGGCCGGGGCTGCTTGCCGAGCACCTTGGACAAGTCCCCTGGGCCAACTCACTTCCTCTTGGCTCTGCTGGCTGTGACTCAGGTGACATCAAAGTGGCGAGCACACGTGTATGTGCCCAAGCATGCATGCGTGTGCTGCAGGGAACTGCAGCGCTGTCTACTCCGAGGTCCCTGCATGAGGTCATTGGGTTCCTTGTCGCAGGGAAGAGAGGGGGTGACTGTCACGGCCAGGACGGAGACCCTGGGGGCAGGTAGCCTGGGGTGGAGCCCAGGTACTCCAGGCAGACACAGTTGGGATGGCAAGTGTGGTTCTCTCTGCGGATCCTGGGCCTGGAGGAGGGAGGGAATCCCAGGAGCCTCCTGCTCTGTCCTAAACTGTAAGCCGGGGTCGGCTCCGGGACGCCGGCACTCAGTCAGCTGATGGGACATGGGGCACGGCATGAGCAGCGAGATCCGAAGCGAGAGGTGTGTGTTCCTCACAGAAAACTAAAATATGTGTGGTTTCCTCTTCGGCAGACTGATGGCGGGCCGGGGAGTTCGTGGCACGCCCACCAGGCTGCTGTGTGGCGCCCGTGGTTGACCACCCCCCACAACAGGCTCCGTGTTGGCTGCAGATGGGTTTAATTTAGGCAGCAGATGGGGTGTCCTTCTAAAGAAAAGGGTGGGCCTGCTGGTCCTGTGGTTAAGACGCCCAACTTGCATGTTGGAGGGCCTGGGTTCAAGTCCCGGCTCAGTTCCCCATTCTAGCTTCCTGCTAACGTACACCCTGGGTGGCAACAGATATTGGCTGATTTATTTTTAAAATTTTTATGTACTTATTGAAGAAGCAGAGAGAGAGAGATCTCCTGTCCACTGGTTCACTCCCCAGATGCCTGCAGTAGCTGAGACAGTGCAGACTAAAGCTGAGAGCCAGAAACTCCATCTGGGTTTCCCTCGTGGACAGCAGTGACCCAGGCAGCCGTCCCCTGCTGCCTGCTGGGGTGTGCGTGTGCAGGACGCTACGGTCTGGAGCACCTGTTCTGTCAGCATGTGCTGCTGGCGCTGACTGCTAGAAGCAGTGGCAGGCATCATTTGTGGTGTGCCCAGGCCCCCACCTGTGCTCACGTGGCGTTGATGGCGTCCCAGCGTGTGCACACCCTGAGACCGAGGCCTGCTGGGAGGGTCTGCTGAGTGCTGGAGAGCCCAGTGTCAGTCAGCCCCGCTGTCCGATCTGCACTCCCTGCCACGGGATGTGGAGTGGCACGTGAGCGGTGTCACGGGCCAGGGTGGGGGCACGGTGTGCAGCTGGGCCTGGCAGAGCCGGCAGGTGTCTCGGGTTGCAGGCGCCCAGCCATGGCCGCACACTGGGGTTCCGTGCTGAGCTCACCCACGGGGTGTGCCGTGCATTTGGGAGGCTGTGTGGCGTCTGACGGAACTCACCTGGTGCCTGCCCTCCCCACAGAACATCGACATCACCAACTTCAGCAGCAGCTGGAACGACGGGCTGGCCTTCTGCGCGCTGCTGCACACCTATCTTCCCGCCCACATCCCCTACCAGGAGCTCAACGGGCAGGATAAGGTGAGCCAGGGCCCCAACCCCGGCCTCCACGTCCTGCTCAAGGGGGCAGGGCCTGGGATGGCAGACAGCCCCCTCTACTCCCAGCGGCCCCAGTCCTGCTCTGTCGCTTCAGGTGAGGCTGTGGGCACCCAAGCCAGCCTGCCCCTGAGTATCCTGTCTGAGGCATTGCTGTGCTGCATGCCAGTGAGAGCAGCTGGTCCTTCCCAGGCTGTGACAGGCCCAGGGCTTCACCAGGCCGTGGCCAGCATGGGGGTCCCCGGGCTGCCTCACCTTTGTCCTGGCCTTCACTGTGGGATCAGGACCCTGGGCCACCACTTCTAGGGAGCGCCTCAGCTCAGGGAGGAGGGACAAGCCTGGCACCCCAGCCCTTGAGCCCTTGCACCCTTGACTTCCCTGCAGACACCCGCAGATCTGCAGTGACTCCCGCAGGTGCCCACAGGAGCGGGAGGGAGGCTCATGGGGTGGGGTTTCCCACTGGGTGTCTGGCAGAGTGTTTGGCAGGCTAAGATAGGTGTGGCAGGAGGGAAGGGCAGCAGGCGTGGCCCGTGGCTGTGTAGTAATGAGGGCCCTTCTCAGGGTGTTTTGGACTCAGGTGGAGGTACTGTTGTCCATGGGGCAGGGGCAAGGCCACTCCCCCTGCCTCCTCACCTCGTCCTCACACTGTAGCTGTCCCATTCCTCTTTCAGAAAAGGAACTTCATGTTGGCCTTCCAGGCAGCCGAGAGCGTGGGCATCAAATCCACACTGGTGAGTGTAGCTGCTGCTCCTGGACCAGGGGGTGGGCCCGAGGAGGAGTCTCCAGCCATTGCAGGGGGCACTGCCTGTGCCCCTGCCTGTGGGGACGTCTCCCACAGACCTGACCATGTTGGCCTCCAGGCTGAGGGCAGGCCAGCTCCATGTGCCTGGAGGGGGAGCAAGCAGTGAGCTATACACGACCCACGTGTCCACAGGCCTGCACCGGGGCCCTGCCAGGGCTCCCCACTGACTGTTGCTAGCCAGCCTGGCTTCATGGGGGAACATGCCACATCCACCCCCTACAGCCTCTCCATGTCCCCCAGGCCAGCAGGTGCACAGTGAGCAGTTTCCAGCTCTCTTCAGGAGGCTGGCGTGGCATGAGCTGGCTCCTGCCCTCTGCCAGGTCACGGTGGGTGGCTCTCTTCTTGTGTGCTCGGCACCCGCAGGGCTGCACCCTCACAGCCGTGACCCCCCGGATGGGGCCAACATGTCCCTCAGGCATCATCCTATGCGGTTTCATCTCCCTCCCAGGCCCCTGGCAGTCGAGGCCCTGCCTGTGGTTCTGGGAGCCCCTGGCTCAGGGACAGCACAGCCCCCATTTGTGTCTGGCGTCTGAACCAGGTGGTTTGGCGCAGCCCGCCAGGCCAGGCCGGGTGGCGACCTGCAGACTGAACCAGGCGTCTCCTCTGTCAGGACATCAACGAGATGGTGCGGACCGAGCGGCCGGACTGGCAGAACGTGATGCTCTACGTGACGGCCATCTACAAGTACTTCGAGACCTGAGTGCAGCAGGAACCGCCTGGCGGCCGGGGCGCCCCTGTAATTCCTGAGCGCAGCACGAACTGCCCGGCGGCCGGGGCGCCCCTGTAATTCCTGAGCGCAGCAGGAACCGCCCGGCGGCCAGGGCACCCCTGTAATTCCTGAGCCACGCACTCCTAACATCGCCAATGACTCTAGGCTGCCCCGCAGGGAGGGCCGCCTCTGATCCTGCCGCCGGAGCAGGGCACAGCACGCCTCCCGCAGGCCAGCTTCAGGGCTGCCTTCCTCAGAGGACTCTGAACTCTCCTAGTGGAGCGCTGGGGTGGACAGGCTCGGGCAGGGCCCGGGCAGAGAGGGGGTGGCGATTTGTGGGGACTCACGGGATGGGGAGGGCTGAGAGGCCTGTGGCCCCCCCAGAGGATCTGCCTTCCAGCACGAGGGGAGCTGGCCTCTGCCCTCCATGTGGCAGGGCCGTCCCACACGGCCAGAGTTTGCTGCAGGAGCCGAAGGAGGGCCCTAGGTGAGGAGCAGGTGCCCAGCCTCACCCTGCCACCTGCGGGGCCGGGGAGCTGGCTCAGACCCTCGGGACGCCTCCCGCCTGGCAGCGGGTTGAGCTCCGGCTGCAGCTCCGACTCCCGAACGAGGACTGGGCTGAGGCGTTCTGGCTGAGGCTGACACTTGTTTTCTCGCAAGCAATACTGGGAAAAACATTTCCGTATCAGCACCAAAGTGAAGTCATTCGCAGAAGAATAGAAACAGCACCCAGAGGCGCGCACCCTGGGGACGCATCGCAGTGGGAAGTGAGGGACACGTGGCCGGGGACCCAGCCACGGGGCTTTGAGCCGCTGGACATCGTCCCCCTGGGCCGGCGTTCAGGAAAGTGCCTTAGCTCCTCGCCCGCTCCCCGGGGCACGGTCGGGAGGACCCGGCTCCCAGAATGCCACCGAGGCCTGCAGCTGCCGGGGCCCCGCTCTCCAGCCCCGCGCTAGACCAGGACAGAACACGCGTGGCAAGCAGTGTGCGTGTGCGCAGCGGGAGGCATTGTCCCTGGGCCTGCGCCCCGGCCACCCCCGCACCGTGGCCATTCTCTTCCACTCCCGTTGATGGCCGGGGCGGCTGAGCCGGGGGCGCGACTGACTGCTGGCCAGAGGAGAGTGTCGTCATTGTCAGTGGCCCTGCACCCTGCTCTGCCAGGTGTTACCTGCACACGCATTTGCCCCCAGGAGGCCCTGTCTAGCTCCCTGGGCACAAGCGTCCGGGTTGGCACCACCCACTTTATTTATGATTTCGTGGTGGGGGTGGGGAGCACCTCCTGTCCCTTGCTGGTCGCAGTTCATGGGGTCACCAGAGACTCCTAGAGGGAGGGTGGGGTCGCCTCGGCCTCCTACACTTCCCGCTGCCATGTTTGTGGGCAGCTGCGCAGGTGGTCAGACTCCAGAAATGGGACTTGTCACCTGTGGGCCTGGCCCAGGGCAGCCTCCAGCCTGGCTATCCCGAGGCCGCCTGCCCTTCTTCAAGCACAAGCTCCCTGGGGGGCTCGGGCCAGGCCGCTGGCCACTCCCACTCTGCCTGCTGGCCGCAGTACTGTGTATTGTTCTCATCTTACTCTCGAATGTATTAAACTTGCTTAACACACCAGGCATGCGTCGTCTTTGCCCTCAGAGGCCGGCTGCAGGAGTAGGCACCTGCACCCCGTGGGGACCCAGGACTGGACAGCTGTGGGCTGGGGTGAGGGTGGCGACCTGCTTGGCACCCAGAGGTGCTGGCACCATGCCATGGTGGTCGGTGGGCCGACACTCAGAGTGGAGGTGGCTGTGATCACCCTGTTCCCACTGAGGCCTCAGAAACCATCAGAGCTGCCCTGCAAGAGAGACCCCTACAGACCCCTGGTCAGAGTAGCCCATGGCTGGCTGTCTTGGTTGCTGGCTTATTGTTTTGAGAAATGTATCTTTTTAAAAAATAAGATTTATGTTTATTAGGCAGATTTATTACAGAGAGGAGAGACAGAAATAACTTCCATCCACCGGTTCACTCCCCAAGTGACTGCAACGGCCGGAGCTGAGCCAATCCAAAGTCAGGAGCCAGGAGCTTCCTCCAGATGTCCCACGCAGGTGCAGGGTCCTGAGGCTCTGGGGCGTCCTCTGCTGCTCTCCCAGGCCCCAAGCAGAGAGCTGGACGGGAAATGGAGCAGCCGGGACAGGAAGTGGCACTCATATGGGATCATAGCACATGCAATGGGAGGATTAGCCAATTGAGCCATTGTGCTGGACCCATAGAAATGTATCTTGGGGCCCGGCGCGGTGGCGCAGTGGTTAAGGTCCTCGCCTTGCACGCCCGGGATCCCATATGGGCGCCGGTTCTATCCCGGCAGCCCCGCTTCCCTTCCAGCTCCCTGCCTGTGGCCCGGGAAGGCAGTAGAGGACCGCCCAAAGCTTTGGGACCCTGCACCCACGTGGGAGACCCGGAAGAGGCTCCTGGCTTTGGATCAGCATAGCATCGGCCCGTTGTGCTCACTTGGGGAGTGAATCATCGGACGGAAGATCTTCCTCTCTGTCTCTCCTCCTCTCTGTATATCCGCCTTTCCAATAAGAAAATAATTTTTAAAATCTTAAAAAAAAAAAAAGAAATGTATCTTAAAGTGAATAAAACTAGAGGATAAAACTCCAAGCACCGCCCAGACAACTCCATCTTACACCTTACACCTGTCAAGGGAAGGGGCGGGGCTCTGACATCACCCACTTGGGCAGGTGGCCATCTGGAGGTGAGACTGCAGCCTCAGGGGTGTCCTCACGGGCATCTCCCACCCCCTGCGCACAACTCCGCACTGAGCACCCCCGGGTTATGTGGCAAGGACCCACATTGCAGCCTTCAGGCCTTGGGCACAGGCTGTACCGCCAGGCCCCACCCCATGCTGGGCTCCACGCACCCCACGGCCTCGTGTTCCACTCAGCTGCTCCAACTTGCTCTGTACTGCTGGAGCAACACTTGCAATGTGGGGTGGGGGACTTCCAACCTGAACTCAGGGAGCGTCCAGGACTCTTCTGAGGGGCAAGTCCAACAGACGGCCGCCACAGCACTGCCATCCACGGCCGCGGGGGTTCTGGGCTTGAGTACCTGCAGCTGAGGTCCAGGCCTGGGCCAGGGCCGCAGTGGCTGCACCTGGGTATCCAGCGCAGTGGGAGGAACTGGAAGGCGTCACTGAGGTGACGGCCCACGTACACCTGAGCTGCGCCTGGCCGGAGCCTGCAGCCTGGAGCCCAGACCCCGGACCCCGGACCCTGGACCAGAGGGTGGAAGACCTGGACAGCCTGTGTGTCCCCCGGCAGGTGAGGAAGAGGGTGTCAGTGGCCTGTGGTGCAAGGCTGAGTCCTGGCAGGAGGCCCAGCCTCGAGGGTGGGAGACAGGGAGCCCTTTGGGCCTGTGGTTGTTGGCAAACGCTGGGACGCACTTGGCATGCAGGGAGCGGTTCCCACGGCTTCCAAATGGTAGCCCCCAGAAGGGGCTTCCCCCAACCCTCCAGTCTGACAGCGACTGCAGGGAAGCCTGGTAGGGGGCGTGGGGAGGGGGACGGTGGGCTTGCTGGGGTGCTGTCCCAGTCCGAGCTACAGCAGCGGGGGAGGGGGAAGCTACACTCCCCAACATCTAAGTGGGAGGATGGGGGCTGCCTCTATGTGTGCGGGTATCTCGAAGCTTCTGCTAGCCAATACGGGTGAAGGGGGACCCTAGGAGGCTGGAGCCTAGAACCCCCCGAACGGGCAGGAGTGGGGTGGCTCAGGTGTGCAGGGCTCAGTGGGTGCTGGGGCCGTGCGCCACGCCCCGCCTCTCCCTGATGCAGCTCAGCTGGCCCCAGGGCGGACAAAGGAGGCCAGAGGCGGCCCAGGTGCATCCTGGGCAGGAACAAAGGGCCGAGGGCGTGGAGAGGGGGGCCCGCAGCCCGGCCACGGAGTCTGGGCCTGGACGGAAGGAAGGGCGGGCGCCCCCGGCCTTCAAAGGCGGCCAGGGCTGCGGGAAGGCCTGGGGGAGGGGCGCGTGGACGAAGGTGCGGAGCAAGCTGGGGCCCAGCCCGGGCATCCCCTGCTGGCCCGGGGGCCCAGGCACCTGCCCAGGTGGGCCGCGAGGTGTGCCGCTCCCCTCCTGTCTGGGCAGGGACCTTAACTGGGGTCTTTGTCAGCTGAGGGTCCTCGTGGCAGGCCCAGCTGTGGCTGGGGGATTGGGACAGGACCAGGGCAGGAGAGAATGGGGCTCCGGCCTGAGGGAGGGGTGGGGGCTGAGGATGACACGGGATGGGGTGAGTGGAATGAGGACCCCAACATGGATGGTCCCGGGGTGCAGGCTGCTGAAGGAGTCTGGGGGAGGCGGCCTGGGACAGGGGACCCCTAAGGTAGTGCAGGAACAAGCTAGCTCCTAAGGGGCGAGAGGCCGCTCCCCATCCGGGCCGGGAGCTCCTCAGCTAAGGGCCGAGGCAGTGGGTGCTTGGAAAGGCACTTGAGGCAGAGTTGTCCCTCGGGGTCCCAAGCTGGTCCCTGCCCCTCCTGGGACCCCTCCATCCCAATCCCGGTGCTTGCTCCTTTGTGGCCTCAATCTCCAGCCCCGCTCCCCCGAAGGTGCGGGTTCCGCCTACCTCTGCCGCTCGCCCCCACTCATCCCCACTCATCCCCCTCCACACAGTCCTCCCCCTCAACTCCGCAGTGCCCGCCCCCCACAGGATGATGGTCGGGGTCGTAGGCCAGGTTGTTCCAGTTAGAGATTTCCAGAATCTGGATAGGGAGACGAGGGGGGAATTCCCAGCCCAAGGGTCTGAGCTCCGAGGTCAGTCCTGTGGTGGCCCACCCCGCCACCCCGCCTTTGGGAACCCCTGCTGCCGGGGTCCTGGTGAGGTGCTGCTGGGGTGCTGACATGGTGCTGGCGGGGTGCTGCTGGGGTCCTAGTGGGGTGCTGATATGGTGCTGGCCAGGTCCTGCCGGGGTGCAGATATGGTGCTGGCTGGGTGCTGCCAGGGTCCTGGCGGGGTGCTGGATGGTGCTGCTGGGGTGCTGGCAGTGTGCTGATGTGGTCCTGGCGGGGTGCTGCCGGGGTGCT